TGCCCTAGAGCCAGCTAGAGATAGGATTTTTTTTTTTTTTGCTTCATTCTGAAAAAAAAAAAAAGTAATCATATAAGACAGCTTAGCTGCTGTCCTCCCACTCTCTAGAATTTTTAATTTCAGCTGTTTCTGCTTGGATTTATTTCCAATATTCCTGCTCGGCTTTTCAATTTCCTCAGTTATTAAATTTTAATTCAGTGCATTAGCATTTAAATTAAAAAAGGGTTTATTTTATCGAAATCGTTGGCCAGCCCCCATCCCGTAGCACACGAATTGCCTGTTTCTGCCATTTGCACAAAATGTGAAATGCAGCTAATGTCTTACAACTTACATTTGCACAAATTTAGAAATAAAATTTCTGGGTTTGGAATAATATTTTCTTTCCAAGAAAACCCTTAATAAGAGAATGGAAAAGAACAATTTAACATTCATTTGGGAGGGAAGAGGAAGGTCTAATGAAACTAAATATAGCCCTGCCCAGGTCCTGTGGAGAAGCTGGTGAATAAGGAATGGGTGGAGCTAGGAAAGGGGGATGGGCACCGTGGTGGGCTGGAGGCTTGGTTCCCTTTGCCCCCAGCCACTAAGTGAATCCCGTGCCACATTTCATTTGCCACAGAGAGCCTGGTTAACGTTGACATAAAGATGTTAAGAGAGGAGGGACTATGATTTAACCCTCTGCCCCACCCCCATTTTTACCGATGGAGAACCTCAGGTCCAGAGAAAGAAAAGAGCTTGTGAAGTTCAAAGTGAGACCTAGACAGAGAGCCAGGACAAGACATCCTTTGTCACAGGAAGCACGTGACCCCTTGGTAGAAAATGATGGTGTCACATAGCAGCCATTGAATTCCCGTTGCCTGAGTGGTTACTGCTTATACCAGGTAAGGGTTGGGGCCTTACTTGCATTGTGTTCAATGTGGTTTCCACTGAACCTTAGGGCTGTGGTGGTCTGCTGGACCCTTGTGAGATGGGACTTGCAACATGGGATTCTGGGCCGTCCAGGGTGATCGGTGACTTGGTCACCTGCTGTGTGATCTTATATACCATTCTATCCTCCTGTGCCTCAGTATCTTGGATGCAATCAATGGTGGCCTCTCTCTCTATGGCTATGGTTGTTAGTGGTTGATAGAGTTACTGTACAGCCCTAAGTACTTTTGTACGTGCCCCCTTACTAAAGTTATAAGTCTGACACCAGTCCTGTGAAGTAGGTCCTAGGATTCGTTCTCTCACAATTTGCAGGTGAGGAAACTGAGGCCTCAGCAGCTCAGGTGACTTGCTAAAGATCACACAACTAAAAAATGGCAAAGGTAGGACCCAGACTCAGACTCTACTACACCTTGTGCTCTTCAACTTTAGTTCATACGGAGAATCAGGTCAGATTATGCTAGGAAAAGGAGAGTTTTTGGTTTAGGTTGAATTATAAGAAATTGCTCATATTAGACCATTGTAGTCTAAGAAAAAGGCAGCATCGGAGTTCAGGTTAATCCAAACACAAGGGATCAGCATGATTTATTTGCAAGGACACGGACAAAGACAGCCAAGTGTCATGTTGATCTACTCTTGAAAGTTGATGCTGTCAGCACCTTGGGCTTGAGCTGCAGGGGCCAGGAGCCTGTGCCCTGTCATGATAGTGGGCCTTGGTTGCCATGTGCTGTGACACTGACGTATGCCATCTTGGACGTCTTCCACTGCATCCATTGTCCACTACCATGTCATCCGTGCCTGCACTTACACTAATGGAGGGACACAACCTCACTCTGCCCAGGTAGATGGTCCTTGTGCCTCCCACAGCTCCCGGACCTCAGTGCCACCACCTGAGTCTCTGCAAAAGGATTTCTTTTAACAACTATCGGGATATGTCTAGCATTCTGTCTGTTTTATAAAGATGAGTGGAAAACAGAAGTTAGTGTGGCTGCCAGTAATGCGAGAGAAAGAAAAGCAAGAGTGGAGATTGTCAGGTGTGCCAAAAGCAGAGTCTCAGATCCTCCCTATCTTATGATATGTTCAGTGCTCTTTACTTGGTGAACCCTAAGTAAAATTGTGATGGCAGAGGACAAAAATGTGTGAGCAGTGGTGTAAGTACACACCTAGGTGGGAAAGGAGAGAGATTGTTTGAGATTTTGGTTTCTTAACGCTCTGGGTCTGAACTTCCACCCTCTATTACCCGTATCTCTTAGGATATGAACATTAAAACAACTTTGTTTACAGGAATGCAAAATGTCAGAAAGAGGCTGCAACTGGTCCTGTTCCTTTGGTCCCGGGGAAATGATACACAAACCACTTCCAGTCTTCTTGTTTCTTTTGTTGAAATTGAATGCTCAGATCCCATTAATTTCCACTTCCACATCTTATTTTTCACCGTCCCTGGTCATCCTTTTTCATTTTCCTCATGTGGAGCATGGGCTCTGTGATGTCACTCCACTTCCTGTTTGTCTCTCTCGAATGTTGGTGGGAGATGAAGTCTTCCAGCGCCTTGGGTGTGACTCAGAGGGACTTTTCGTAACTGACTTTGAGGCAGTGCCCCTCTCTGTCCTCTCCTGTGAATTGGGAATATTGCCTGTGTGTTGTGGAGGACCTGTCAAGAGTCAAACGAGATGAGGCATTCACTTCCTTGCTGTAGCAGTTGGTGGGAAGTTACCCAGGGGAGGAAGGCAATAGCCACAGGGCAGGCAGGCACTGGATGTAAGACCAGAGGAAGTGGTGGGGACTGAAGAAGCAGGTAGGTCAGCCCCAGCTAGCTGCCGCTCTGTGGAACTGTGTGTCCCTAGGCTTGTTAAAGTGAAGCAGGAAATCTTTGGGACAAAACCTCTTTACTTTATATGTTATTGGTTCTTTTGAATGAAGTCCGCCATCTGGTTTCCCAGTTTGCAACTTCTTGTAAGCACGTCTCAAAGGTAGTAGCTCTTTTACTTTAGATCCCAAATTCTTCATCCACAGACCTGCATCTGAAAAGCTTGGAAACAAAAAGGTTGTAGCGGATGGACAGCAGAATTTGATCGGAAGGGAAGTGAGGCTGCTTAATGGTTGCCAGTCCTGTGCCTGTGTAGTGTTGCTTGTGCTTGTGTCACCACTGAAACATCAGGGTGCGTGATTACTCCCACAGACCCTGCTGGGCTGGTTCAAAGTACAAGGCATATGTGGTATTACCTTTCTAAACGTGGAAAATTTTTGAATTTGTGAACATGTGCTCTAGGTTTTCAGACCTGCATTACTCTACTGTGATTCCTCTTATTACACAAGTTTTGAGAGAGCGAGGGAGCGCATTTCAGCCATGGTGGTGGAGGTCATTGTTTGTCATCTTCACCCTCCCTTGGCCCTGCATCCTGGTCTCCTTGAGTGCTGGCCTGAGAGTCAGGACTCCACGTGTTTGTCATTTGGTCCTCATGAGACTTCAGACATCTCTTTCTGTACCCAGAAGCCTTAGTCTCCTTATCTGAACCAGAACTTTATGATTTCTGAAAATTTCATTTGGTCAGCCCTATCTCTCTGTCCCCCACCCCCAAATAAAAGAGATTAAGAACTGGCACTCTCTTACCTTCCCCTATTCATAGGGTTGAGGGGGACAGAATATTTTAACATAATAGGATTTTTCCCCTCCAGTTGGTAGGAATAAATCTGCAGCTACTGTTTTATTGGAAATCCCAGCTGAAAATAAAAATGGTGCAATTCAATCTCAGATTTAACTGGTTACTTACTTTTCACAGAGTCCCTAGGGCTGTGTGGTTGCTAGGTTTGTGTTGGCAGTGGGTGCTTGGCAGGATTTAAATGGCCAAGCAAATGGGGTAAGGGAGTGTTCTGATTCTCTTTCATCACTTGGGGTAGGTTTTTCCTGCCTGGAGGAGTGTGGGGCAGGGGCTGAGGGCCTGCTCACCTTCTGTCTGAAGGCTGGTGTTCAGCAGAGATTGGTGGGACGGCAGTAGGGAGAATCTCTGTCTTGAGCCTTGGCTGATGGAGGTATTTGGGTTTCTTTTGCAGGCTGACGGAGCCAGTGCGGCTGGAAGAAAAAGCACCGCCAGCAGGTATGCCCTCCACACTGCTGGCACTCCTACCCTTCCCTATCTCTGGTCTTCAGCTACTGCTCTGGTTCTTACCTTTCTCCTTGAAGGATGGATGATCTAGACATCCACACTGCCCCCGGGGAATATGATGTTGTGAGCAGTACTTCCCATGCGCCCTCTATGGGCGTCTGTGACTAGAATCCAAGCGTGACTCGTTCTTGCTCTGGTCTTTGGTTACTCACATTGGGGAAAGCTTAGGGACAAAGCCCAGGTTGGTGAGCCCCACTGTCAAAGCATGAACTCCAAGGGAGCATAAACTCCTTTTAGTGTTGAATTCCTTGGCTGGAGGGTCAAGTCCAGAGCAGGAAGGTGGGATACTCTGATGAGCCAGATCAGGGTCAGTCCCTACCGTGGAAGCTGTCAGTAGATGGGAGAAGGATGGTCTCCAAAGGTAAGTTGCACCAAAGGAGAGAGTGAGGGATACTAGACCAGTCCAAGATAGGAATGTTACTGCAGGTGGCACAGGTAGGCACTTGGTGAATGTCAGCATTGATACTACTGCTGGCTGTTGGGCTAAGCAGAGCTGAAGCAACCATGTGACCTTCACTTGGGGCACTGGAGGCAGGAAGAAGGCGAAGGATAACCAGGAAAGATGGCTCCTAGCTTAAGCATAAAACTCAGAATGGGCTCTGGGGTTACTTGCTGGACTTGAGGGTCAGATTGTGAAGGCCTAGAAAAGAGTTTGCTGGAGTAAAGAGTTTGCATGTTAGCCCATAGCCCACAGAGTACCAATTCTTTAAAATGTTAATGGATTTTGGAAGGGTTCTTTTTGTGGGCATATAAAATTGGAGGGCAATAGTTTAAACAAAGTCAGCAATTTTTTTTTTTGCAGTGGGACTTTTCAGAGCCTTTTCTGTGCTAAGTTGCGTGCCTGGGAACATCTTAAGAGAGAGATGAGAATGTCATGTTTCTCAGACTTCATTAACCTTTGGATGTAGAAACCAGACCACGAGCTCAAACCTGACCAAGGGGTGATGAGGATGAAAAGTAAAGAGATGCAGAATTGGGTTCAAATGTGGAGGGCCAAGGGGCCTTCAACAGAAAGCCCCAAGTAACTGGCGCACCTAGGTTTTATTTACTCAGACATGGGTACAGGCAATTAAAGCTACACCAGATTCATGTGTCTCCCACCCTCCATGGTACATAAACAGCAGGATCTCAGCTGTTTTTACTTTTCCCTGCAGCATATCAACATGCTTGCATGCCACCTTTCCTCTTAGTGATCACTGAGGGGGCCAAGTAGGTCTCAGTCTTCCTGTTTGGTCTCCCACATTTGGATACTTTTGTTGAGGTTCACTCTATGCATGAGGGTTCCTTGGAGCACACTTTGAGAATCCATCGGGAGTACTAAAGTTCTTTGGGCAGAAGAATAATGTGTTTGGCTTTGTGTTTCAGGGGGATCACCCTGGCAGCCTTTTGCAGGGTGGATTGCAGATCATGACACACACAATTCATTGTGACCTGGAAATATTTTAAGCCTTGCAGGCCTGAATGGCCTCTGACAGTTTCTCAACTGCCAGAGTAGTATGAAAGCAACCATAGATAATACATAAATATGTACATAAATGGTAGTAGCTTGCTGACCCCATCCTAAATTGCCTCCTGCCTGAGAGCCTTTGCATGGAATACGCTTTTCTATCTTCCCAGGTTAGTGCCCTTCATCTTTCAGGCCTCAGTTTAATCTTCCTCTTGGGGAAGCTTTCCTTGATCCCTTCACTCAAAGCCCTGCTGTCCCAGCCCATGACCTATGTCCTTCACAGTGTGCTTACATTCCTGAGTTACTCCAAAGCTTGTGTGCCTTTTTGCTTCTGATGTCAGATTGCTGGCTTCACAGGACAGGGACCGTGTCTGTCCTGTGCACCACCATGGGCCTGGACCCTACTAGGCACTCACTGGATGCTGATGTGATAGATATACTGAAAGAAAGGGGAAGAAGAGGGGTGATGCAAGGATAGGAAATGTATACTGAAATGAAGGGGTTGGAGCTCAGAAGGGTAAGACATCCTGGCTTGGATCTGTGAATGCTGTGGTGATCCATGCGGTGAGTGGCTGTCCAGAGCGCTGTTTCCAGGACCCCTGCTGGTGGATTTAGGTAAGAACATTGTGTGAGACTGGCCTCCAGAGTGCTGGTAGTCCTTAAATTATCTTGCTGGTGTCCTGAAGTATTCCTTGGATCAGAAGAAGCATTCACTTTTTGTTGATGAAACAAAATGCCTTATATACACAATTTGAAGAGAAGAACTTATGCTGGCTCACAGTTTTAGTCCATGGTTAGCTGGCTCTGAAGAAGAGACATCATGACAGAAGGGCATGGTGGAGGAAGGCTGCTCACCTCATGGTGGCCAGAAGTAGAGAGTCAGGGGAAGAGCCTGAGAGGAAGGGGCCAAGGATTTGATACAGTCCTAAGGTCACTCCTCCGTGACTCGACACAGACATCCCTCCTGGGTCTCTCAAGCCAATCAAGTTGACACCGAAGAATAAACATCACGGAAGGCCAGGATTGGAAGGGGCCTGGAATTTATCTCACCTGGCCTCTCAGTGTAAATACAGGGAGAGTCCACAGTTTTGGAGGAAAGGTCCTGCTGAGGGTCATGTGAAGAATGAGTGGCCATGTCAGGCCTGGAACCTGCTGGGGCTGAGTTTTTCCTGCACAGTGCTGCCGTGCTGAGCACAGGTTTAGCAGATCATGGCACCTTCTGCCCACAGTCATCGGGTGCTGGCTGTAGTGGGCTCAGAGCTGTGTGCTGTGGACTCCAGTGGACCAGAAGCAGGTTCATTCATTCAGAAGATGTGAGTGGCTTTGTAGGCTCTGTTCAAAGTGCTGGTTCCACAACAGTGCGCTGAGAGATGAAGCTCCATCCTCCTCCATCACTCTTTTTCCTTTTTTCTCTTTCTTTTATGCAGGGTCTTCACACTGACCTATATCCCTGGTGGACCTCCTCTTTTTAAATTTTGAGATAGGGTCTTGATACAATGCTTAGGCTGACCCTTACATCGTCTTTACAAGGATGTGGTCTTTCCCCTCCCTGTCTAATGTATGAACTCCTTCCATGCCAGTGGATGTTGTGAATATTCAGAGGACAGCAGTTGGGTTTTCCCACCGTGGCCATACCTTCTGAATCTATGAATGCAGTGCTTTCAGCCCATGGCTGCAGTCGGTGGGGGAAGAGTGTGGAGAATGATTAGAGATGCCTGCCCATTCAGCAGAGGGGCAGGGCGGCTCCTGTGCTGTGTCTTTTTCTCTCTGTGACTAGCCTGAGATTTCCACCACATATTCTCAGTGGCCGAGCCCTGTGTTATTACCAGGGCTCTATAACATGCATCAGGAAGGGCCAGCCCAAACCTCGGGGCCATGTGCGATTTGAGGTGTGAACACAGAATTCCTGTTCATGACAACTGCCACGTAGTCAGGGTGTCCTTGTCAGGCTTTGAGCTCCTTTGTTGTATTTGCTCATTAATTGTGTGTAATCTCCCTAACAAGGAGGTGCTTGTATTATTTTCTTTATAGATGAGGAAAGGGAGGCACAGAGAGGTTGACAGGCCTAAGACTATCTCCTTGGAAGGAAGCTGTAGAGCTGTTTGCCCAAATCTCATTTGCCTGCTATGTGCACTTGCCTGCCGTGCCCTCTTGCTTCTGGGCATGAAGTGTCTGGTTAATGTGAGTTCTAGGAGCCTGGTATGGCCAGAGACTGTGCCAGAGCTTGGCAGCCATCAGAGGGCAGTGACACAGTAAGGTGATACTGATTCTATGGCTAGAATCAACGGCATCCTGAAAGTTAACCCAGTGTGGCTGGATAGGGACTTGATATTCACATAAGTGAATGACACATTCAGGCACCAAGAGAATATGAGCAGTGGCCTTAGCTAGTACCACTAGGTGACGTTGACCCTGGCTATATGGGGTTTAAGTGGGTGGCACTTGGGAGGGCATCAGAGCTCATTTAATTCCTGCTTCCAATGGACCTAATAAAGGTTTTAAAGCTCCTTAATCTTAAAACCAGGCTAGAGTGCCATGGGTGGGAATGACCATGAAGGACCCCTGCCTTTCTGACATGGCCTCTCTTCCCAGCCATGCCACAATGTGCTCTGTTATTGCACCGAGTTCTGCTTCTCTCCCTGTGCCTTCCTTTTGGCCTGAAACACACAATTTTGTTACTTTTCCAGAGGGCCTCTGGCTTAACCCCAAAACCAATAGCGTGGGCTGCTAAGGAATTAGTGTTAAATTGAGGGGGACAAGGAGAGGTGGTGTTCCTGATCTTAAGAAACAACCGAATGTGGTTTACTTTACTTCTCTGGAACCCAGCCCGAGCCTATTTTATAAGACCAGTGATCCCGCTCTTGAGGTTAATGTTGACCTGGTGTGCAGGTTACAAATTACGGCAACAGCCAGACCTTACTTGCTCTAAGAGGCAGGGGGCCTGCAGGGCCTGAACTGTGGAAAATGTAAAGGAGGTATGGCTTTTGTACTCAGGTAAATGCAGTCGCAGGCTTGCTGCAGTGGAGAATGATGCCTTTCTTGTTGGCTGAAGGCTGTCAGAGTGGAAGCACTCCATTGATAATTTAGTCTAACCCCTTGTTTTCGAGATCAGGCAGCAGTGAGAGAAGAGGTCAAGTGGTTCACTGCTCCTGTGTATTGAGTTGCCTAATAAGTGGACAGAGTCTTTGAGGCAAGAGGTTGGGAGGAGACGATGGTAAGATGGTAAAACCAAGTCTCATTCATTCACTCCACATACTATTTCCTGAGTGCCTACCATGTGCTAGGCAGTACCCTAAGGAGCTAGGGGCACAGCACTGAGCAAAATAGAATTCCCTGCCCTTATAGAGGTGGTGTTCTATGGGGAGTGGGTCAGATGTGACACATACCTAGCTGTGGAGAAAGAGAGGGAGATCAGGAGACCTGGAGTGGGTGTTTCTTCTTTAATTTGGATAGTCAGGAAAGGCATTGCTAGGGATGTGATCTG